TTAAAAGCTTAACCCCCATCCACAAATTGCTGCCAGTTTCTGCTGTTGCCCTGCAATGGGCCCTTCTTACCTCTCTTTCCTATATGTATATTCCTGTGCTTTACCCTCTGTCTTCCTGACCACCTTCATAAATTTTTCAGTACCTGTGTGTACTCTTGGTTATTAATTTGAGTCTTGCTCAAGTTAAACTAGACAAACTGCCCATTAGTATTTTCTCAACAGAATATGCATTTCCTGTTTAGAACTGTAATATTATGCTTTTTGTTTATTTGTGTCCATTCTGTGATTGCAACTCTGACCATTTTGGAGCTATGCTATGTGCCAGAAGTATTTATATAACTAAGTAAGACTTACAGATTTGGATCTGAGAGAGTGATGGTACACTTTTATTTTGGAGGTAACAATATCCAAACCCATGTTCTTTTTACTACATTCTAATTCCTCAATTGCATTAGACCTCATATTTCCTATCTAGTAAATGAGAACAGTCAACTAAATAACATGAATGTTTCTTCCAACTCTTAATATTATATAAAGTTCTCTTCTTTAAGCTCATAACAACTTGGAAAAATAAATGGAACAGATATGACTCTATAGAAAGATTGAGTGAATTGGCTGAATTTACTGAAGTAGGTACTGGTAGGAGTAATTTCCCACTACCTACTTTAGTGTACTTTGCATACATATTCTAATAGTCTGAGTAATTGAATAGTCATGACCTAAAATATCCTGGGTTTTTTTATTTTGGTTTTGGGGGTTTGTTTGTTTGCATTTTTGTTTTTTGAGGCAGGGTCTCCCTTTGTAGTTCAGGCTGGCCCTGAACTCACTCTGTAGCCCAGGCTGGTCTTGAACTCACAGCAGTCCTCCTGCCTCAGCCTCCGAGTGCTGGGTTTACAGGCATGCGCCACCACACCTGGCATCTTGTTTTAAATTTAAACATGTCAGAACTTATTTAAAATTGTTGTGGGACCCAATAGAACTATTAACATTAAACAGTACCCCTCAAAATATCATAACCATTGTCTTCAACAGAGAAGCCAAGAAAGTTAATGTCCTTAGACAATCTATTTTCCATATTGTGATTTTCTTGAGTTAATAACTGGATTTCTTTTTAAATGTTGAATATGGTATGTAGAAAGATTAATAGCCACTGCATTGTACATATAAAGAAGAAATGTGAGAGAACAAAGCCAGCAGAAATTCTAATAGAGCATTTTAAGTGGAGATGGAATCATAAATAAAAGTGTATAAGTAAGAATAAGAAAGATCCTTTTTATTTTAATGTACTACAAGTAAAAAATATGGAACACCCATGTAATCCTTGCACATGGGCCGTGCTAGTCTTTATCGTTCCAATTTTAGTATATGTACTGCTGAAGCAAGCACAGAAAGATTGTTCTGTATGAACAGAATATTAGGAAGACTTGACATAAAAAGAGATCAAATACTACATGGTAATAAAGGGAGTAGTGGGTCTATAGAATAATACCAGGTTAAGAAGGCCTTTACAGTTTATTGGGATGGACTGGGGATTTATTTAGCTCAGTGGCTCCACAGCCTGCCTTGCAAGCACAAGTACCCGAGTTCAATCCCCGATACAAAAAAAAAAAATTATTGGGACAACTTTGAATTTCATGTCAAAGAAATGGTTGTGTAGCAAGAGAATAAAACATTGAAAGTAATATTTTAGTAGGGAAATCAGACCTCAACTATGTAAGATGAATTGGAAGAGCTGAGACTGCAGATGAAGGTTAGGAGAGACTACCATAAACCAGCCCTCCCGTCTTTGTCATCTGTAGAGACAGTGAGCTTGGAGACTGATGAGTGAGCCTGATTTGTGACACATGTGAATAAAGAGAAGTGGAGAGTTGAAGGTGACCCTTGTTTTTGTTTTTTGGTTCTGAGGACTGAACCCTAGATTTTGAGCACCTGAGAGTTCTTGCCTGAGGAATGAAGACAGCGCATGGTCCTGCTGCCCATGGGATAGCCAGAAAGGGCCATCAGTTTGTAGTTGGAGTTCATTAAGAAACAAAACCAGTGGGCAGCTAACCAGGTGAAAGTATCCTGATGTAGATTTTCAGGGATGAACTAAGTAGAATAAGCTGGAATGCAAAGGAAAATAAATGTTTGAGTGTATGAGAACAGTGTGTTTACTCCTGAGGAGTATGCCCATGTGCGCATGCAGACAAAGGAAGCTCAGTGTGTAAGGGATGTGGTAGCTAAGGGAAGCTTTGTGAAGTGGGTGATGGCTGAGCAGAGAATGTCAGTGAGAGTGTAAAGTCATAAAGGTAAAGAAGACCTGACCCACCGGGAAAGAGTGGGGTAGGGAGTTAGAGATGAGGCAGAAAAGTAGGCAGGGGACAGGTTGTTTATTTTTCCATACTTTTCTTGACACATAGTAGGTGTCTGTTTTAACATTTATGTAGATTCTGTGCCATCAGGGACGAGGGAGGTTTTCAAGACTCATTGCAGAAAGCACTTACTAAGTTGCAGAAATGTGTGTGGGGTTGATGTACTAATTCTTTCACTTCTGAAGGCAGCAGGGCTCCCGTGTCAGTAAGTGAAGCAAGACTCTGATGAGTAGTGAGCTTACTTGTACTGCAGCGACAGATAAAAGTGCTTGCAGATGTGAAAGCAAAAAACCCTTCAGGCTTTTTTCGCTATCAGAGCTTGCAGTCCCCATCTCCAGGAAGCAAAATAGTAAACATTTCATTCTTTTTGTTTTGGTGTTGTGATAATTTCAAGAAATTATCAAAAAAGAAAAGAAATCCTAGAGAAGTTGAAAGACACAGACTTAAGCAGATGTTCCTGAAATCTTAAGGTCACACTTCTTAGGCAGAGTGTTTGTTAGCTTTACAATGAATAATCTGTTGGTATATTTGTGGGGTTTTTTTTTTTCTGAGTAAATTAAAATTCATTTCCTAGGAAATGCCATTCATGTTACCTTCCTGCTATTAAACAGAATGGAGCTAATGAAAAGATGGTCAGCCCACAGTAGCCTTAGATTTTTTTTTTTTTTTAAATGAGCTTGGCCCACCATTCTATAGCAACTGTCATGTACAGGTTTGAATGGGTATAGTAAGTAGAAGGTACAGCTGTGAATTAAACACCCTGGGGAAGGCCCTGCTAGCCCATCTGTCTGTATCAGAGACACTCACCCTTGCTGTAAGCCTATTTAGAAAATCAAATAAAAGCAGAAATTTGCACTTGAGGTGTCTCCATCCCTGAAGAGTTACTGCCTACATTCTTACTGGTAGTTGAGGTTTCCTGATGAGAATTGGGAATTAAGAAACTAGGAGTTGCAGTTGTTTTCCCTTTCAAAACAGCCCAAAGACCAGACTGCTATCCATCCACAGTATGCCTGGGGATCCTTCCATCCTGCCCCAGCACTAGACCTGTGTTATGTCTCCCTTGTTCTCTGGTGTCAAATGCCTGATCCAGGATAATGGGCTTGCTTGTTGATGTGTGCTAGTATCAAATTTACTATAGCTTATGATTTATTTCATATCTTTCTACCTCCCACAGGAGTTTCTTGTTCAAGAATAAAAGTTTGATGAGTTTCTCCTAGAAAACAATGTAAATACAAATGTGACTATAATGACAACTTTACTTACTCCCTGTGGGGTAGAATTCCCAGTAATAACAGATTTAGCATGTGGGCTGATACCTTTTTAGTATCACAGGGACAGCATTGTTTAGAGAAAGCCTTGACTCCATTTGAATAGCTTGGAGGGTGCCAGGAGGAAGGCCAAAGGAAAAGGAAATGGGAGAGCTGTTGGTTTGTCTCACCCTTACATCAGATGACAGGAAGTCGGAATTGAAATTGGCCACAGCAACCTGTTAAGGCCACATCTGTTTGAATAACTTAGCCCTATAGAAACCAAAGAAGTTTTAGAGTAAGGAATCTAAGAAAAGGATCAGGGAGCAGAATGGCAAGGTATAACTTATGATACTGAACAATCCTGCCAGGAATAAATTTCATCCTCCACTGTCTGTGTTCTTTACTTGGCAATACCCCTGGATTTTAACTATGTTAATACAGCTGAGGCAGTACTTACCAAAGTGCCACTAGCTACCATGTGTTTTTTGGCAGAGTGTCTTATAAGTATAATTTGGGTCTAATGATTAACTATAGAACCTATTAGGAAAGTGTTCCAGGACTGTTTTCTTGTTTCTGTGAATGTGTATGCGTTTGTTACTTGGTTTTTGAGATGGGGTAGGCATTGACTTTTGGAGTATGGGTGTGTATTTCTGATGGACTTTCAGTTATTCACAAATACTGCCCTATTGCCAAGAAATTAAAAATAAATAGACACTATTTTTGAGCTTTTCTCCAAAAGAAAAACAAATGGTACTTGTGGGCCAGACAGCTGTTGTTCAGTGTGGTTTTTTTTTTTGTTTGGTATTTTTATGTTGGACCGACACATAGGCATGACAGTTCTAGTTCCCATTCCAAATAAAGGCAAACAACTCTGTTTGCCAAACAAACTTAACACAGCCATTTGGATGAAGGCAGAGGGCAAGGGCCACAGATCTGATCCCTAGGGTAAATCTGCTTTTATCTTGCACTTGAGGCTGAGAGACAAACAAAATTTATAGTGTATTCATGGCTTTTCTGTCTCCACAGATACCACCTCCTTAAGCTCCTCCAGAAGTTCGGGAAGGTGAAGCAGTTTGACTTCCTCTTCCACAAATCAGGTGCTTTGGAAGGACAACCTCGAGGTTACTGTTTTGTTAACTTTGAAACTAAACAGGTAATTGAACTTCTCCCTTCTTTCATGGTACTTAGCCCATTCTGTCATGATCATTTGTATATCTCTTGACTACTAGACCAGGAGTTCTTAGGGGCAGGAGCCATGTCTGATGCCTTATACTGAGTGCTGAAAGAGATGTAAACAAATGAATTAGTGAAAGCTTGCAGAATCTTGTCTCCCTCTAAGCTCAAGGTCTAAGGTGACTTGCCTAGTTTACTGATCAAATGATTTAGAGTGTCCATATCGAGCATGTAGGCATCCCCCTACCAATCCTGTTTTGTTCCTTTAGTGCCTGGTGAGCAAAGCCTCCTTTTTCTTCTTTCAGTGGTACAGAAACCCAGTCTGGGAGCTACCCGCAAACTATTTTGATTTCTTAAAAATATGCCCTTCTGTCCTGGGGATGTGGCTCAGTCATACAGTACTTACCTCATATACACAAGATCATGGGTTCAGTCCCCAACACCAAAAGAGAGAGGGAGGGAGGGAGAGAGAGAGTATCCTTCTCAAATGCACAGATTTTAATATATGCACAAGAGCATTCGGCTTCAACCATAATATATTCATGTATCTTCTTGTATCAAAATTTAAGTGATTGAAGCAGAAATGTGTTGATAAAGAAATGCAATTTCAGTGTAATTGAAATGCTGCTATAATTGAGATGCTGCTTATTGTCATTTGAAAGACCATTGCTTTTGTTATTTTATTAATAATAACATATATGGATGTTTATCTTATTATAAAAGTAATACATGCTTATTGTGGATGAAAATAAAGATAACCAAAAAAATTTTTGAATCACTGAGCTCAATACAGAGAAATAATTATGCAGTATTTAGTTGTATATTTTTCCAGTCTCTTCACATTCTCACACACATGAACAGTTTATAATATACAAATAAGATACTATCATGGGCCAGGGATATAGCTCAGTGTCACTGCTCCTGCCTCGCAAGCACAAGGTCCTGAGTTCAATCCCTGGTACAAAAAAAGATATATTCATTTTTATCATCCAAAGCATATTAAAATTTTTCTGTCATCTAGGACAACAGTGAAATGTGATACCATGATTTTGCTGGTATATATGTTGTGTACATATATGTGGTTGTGGGAGTATGTACATAGAAGAACATTGGATCCATACCTGAGATTAGTGCATTTTACATGTGTGACTTGGAGTTCAATTGAAAAGTAATCAATGTTTTTGATGACTGAATAATATTTCACTGTATGAATGTTCTTTGACTCTCAATTATTGAGTTATCTCCCATGATTGACTAGTGTAAACATCACAGTCATGAATATCTTTCTAGCTCTATCTGTATTATTTACATTAATGGAGGTGGATAGCATCATCAAAGGCCATGCATATTTTTTCTTAAAATAGTTTCAAAAATTGCTGGGCGTGGCGGCGCATGTAAGAGGCTGAGGCTAGAGGATCGTTGTAAATTGAAGACCAGCCTGGGCTACATAGTGAGTTCTAGATCAGTGTCAACTACATAGTGAGACCCTGTCTCAAAAAAACAAAAAAAAAAGGGTGTGTGTGTGTGTGTGTGTGTGTGTGTATGTGTGTGCATATATATCTATATCTATATCTATATATATATATATATGTATATGTATGTATGTATAGTTTCCAAAATGTCTTCAAGAAATGATTTGTCAGTATATTCTGAGACTTGTCCTTAACAGTGCTGGGTTTTTGTTTTTCTGTTGTTTTATTGTGGTGCTGAGGATCAAACCCAGGGTACTGCACATGCTAGACAACTACTCTGCCACTGAGCCTTAGGAATTTTTTATTTCCTCAATATTTGCAAATATTATAGATGATAAGTGATATTTTATTAGTCTGGGTATTTTGAAGGAAGTGAAAATATGCACATGTGGTTAATATTTTTAAATACTTAATTCTTTACTAACTTGGAGCAAGTCTCTTAATTTCTTCTGGCCTCTATTGTCATAAAAGTCAGAAAGGAGCTCACCTTGCAGGAAGTTAGGAGCATATATAAAGGTGCATATGAAAACACAGTTGGCAATGTTTCAAAGATAGGAAATTGTGTTTAAAACACCTATCCTCTGCTGGCATCTTGTTAACTGCTGATACTTCAGAACTAACAGAATATCCATTGCCTGACACAGTGAGTACAGAGTGTTTGTTGAATGTCATGAAAGTGAGCTCCAGCAAACCAGAGAATCACCACTAAAACCAGACTCAAGTACCCTTTTCTTTCTTTTTTTTTTTTTTTTTTTTTTTTTTTTTTTTTTTGAATTACACCTTAATCTCAGATAGACTCCCTTTCCTGAAGGACTTCCTATTTCTCTTCTGCTCCTTAAGGGTTTCTTTACCACTACTAAACATAGGTTATACTACTTGGCTAAGTGCCTCTTGGATACAAATAGGACAAAGAAGGTTTGCCAGGATGGGAAAGTACAGCCAGGTTTCCTGGGAGTGACCTAGAGTGACTATTTTCTAGCTTCAGGAATTCCTTTCAACCTTGTTACTCTTGTATCTAATGGGGAAAGGGTCAGGGAACTTGTGGCTCTGAAAACCAGGTGCATAGACTGACTCACACAGACACCTTGATCACAGTCTCTGACTCACTCCCGCTTTTTCCACCCCAGTTTCCTTCACTCCTGTATCCCTTGGAGCCATTACTGTTCACTTTGGATCTAGGGAGGGGTTCGCCCTAGTCTAGGATACAGACCTAGGGTCCCTGGGGGAGTGTAATTTCTTGAGATAATAAGTGCTACCTCAATTAATGGAGGTGTGGAGCAAGGTAACATCTAATCCGAACAGTACCGTTAGCTAGCATTTATTAAGCATCTACCATGTGCTCCATGCTTTACATGAACTCTGAATCCTCACAAGCATGAAAGAATAAGTAGTATCCATAGTTACAGGTGACAAAACTAGAGCCATTAACCAGTCAAATGTCATACTGCCAACAAGTGACAGAGCCAGGATGTGAATTTTTATCAGACTGACTTCTTAAAACTCATACCTTTTTTGTTATTCTTCCTTTTAAAATTATAATCCCTTTGCCAAATATTTGCTCAAAGCTATTTGGTTAGAGACTCAGCCATCAAAGCTAGTGAGGTCTTGTGAGAATAAAAATAGCTACTTAAGCATTTAAATTTTTGACTGACTATTGTTCCTTTCCTGGCCAGGAAGCAGAGCAAGCCATCCAGTGTCTCAATGGCAAACTGGCGCTGTCTAAGAAGCTGGTGGTACGATGGGCACATGCCCAAATAAAGGTATGTCTCAGAGGCTGGAAGACAGCCTCCCACCTTATCCTAAAGAGTCTGAGGGCAGGGATTTAGCTCAGTTTTTTTTGACACTTGCCCTGCAAGCGCAAGGGCCCGAGTTCGACCCTGGTACCAAAAAAAAAAAAAGTCTGAAAGACAGTTGCTCGTTTCTCCATTTGCATCCCAGCCTCTTCACATCTGGAACTGCCATACTTTGGTCTCCTACTTGTATTTACCATGTGTGTTGCCAGATTGTTCTTTTGAGAAGCTTCTCAGCAGGGATTAAGTTGCTTCGTTGTTTCTCTCCATATGCCCACAGATCCTGTTTTTGATTGATTTTTCCATGTGGCTGATGTGTATACTCAGACCTCTATCTTTTTTTTTTTTTTTT